GGTCAACGTTGGAGTAACGTCAGCTGGGGTTAGCATGGTTAAGGAACAAAAGCTGAGAAAAGCCGTCATGTCTGCGTGTGTTTGCTTTAACGGCTGAACCAGAGTTTTGATGTTGATAAAAAGATGGGCTTCCATACTTTTGTGATTTTCTCAAGCCTTTATTTTTTCATAAAAAGATGGGTTTGCGTCAGACTTTGCTTCCCATGAATCTTCCCCCTCATGACACCATTATTCCTTTTCGTATTGGTGTGTTTACTCCCTCTCTCTCCCTCTCTCTCTCTAATGTCCATCTCTCATTTTTCTGTCTCTTTCTTTGTGTTTGTTTGTGTCCATCCTCTATACTCTGAGAGAGAGAGAGAGAGAGAAGCAACTAGCTAGGGTTAAGACCTAAGTGGTTCATTCATCAGGGCGTGCTGTGAATGTGTGCTCGCTTGTCTGCTGCCCCAACCAATAAAACAAAATTAATAGAAATGATGAGACTAAAAGTGAGTGAATGAGGAGACCAACAGACATCCCGCATAATTAATGCTTCGTGTCTATTTCCTCTCAATTCCTCATCTATTGCTAATAGCCAACCCAACATTGTGCCTCTTTGTATGAATTGGTGTCTGCCCGATATGTCTATCTTTGGATGGAGTAATGCAGTGCAGGAGAACATTTGTTCCTCTTGTACTTCCTGCAGATAGATGTTCTATGTGTTTGGGAATGAAACAGGCCAACTAATTCCAATGATTTTTTTTTTCTTTTTTGGGGTTGCTGTGTTCATTTCACAGTCCTACATTCTGGGCTGAAAAACATGTTGAGGTTACTCATCTGCAATATCAATAATCATTGCATATATTAAGCCTTGTTGCTGTGCATTTACTCTACAGATGCAAATTGTTTTCAGTGCTGCTTATTTAACGTGGTCTTTTCAGAGCAAGTTAATATTTTGCTACGGCATCGTGAACTATCGTTGATTACATTGATGCTTGGATTAAACAACAGCATAAATGTTTGAGGCAAGTCTTCGGAGCCAGGGATATGGCTTTTGACAACCCCAAGGAGTCAGGGTGAATGAATAAAAACATATGGCTTGATATTTTAAGCCAAAAACAAAGAGAATGAAGATATATGTATAAAGGTGGGAATTTGATTAACAATAATTAGGGGCTAATGGAAGATTGGAAAGTATGGAGAAGACAAGGGAGACATGCATGCAATATTGTGTTGGCCTCTATATATATATATAAAATTTTTAGTCTTGTGGGTGTGAGATTTGAGCAGACACGCTTTCCACTTCCACGAATTTTTTATTCTCTGATGCACTGTTACCTTCTTCCGGCACCAAAATCTCTCTCTCTCTTTTCTTTTCCTTTTTTTTTTTACCTTCATTATCTATTTCACATGCTCTTTTTACATTTTTTTTAGTCTTTGATTTTAACAGTAACAGTAATAATAATGCCGGGCAAAACTAGGAAGCAACTTATATTGAACAAATAGGGAGTAGCATGATAATAAAGATGGCAAACAAGAACAGACGACATTGTTTATACACACACACACAGCAGATATGTTTATCTTTCTTAATTTTTTTCCAAATTGGACAAAAAGCTTTTAATTTGAATTGTTCGCAGTATATATAATAATCCATATACGGATGAAAGGTGAAGTTTAGTTCGCATTGACCTTGGCATTCTTCGAAACGTTTGTTCAAGTGATCATCAACTGTTCTACAGACTAAGGATTAATATGCTTGCCTCTGTAGTGTGATCATCGAAATTTGAAGTAAAATTGACTTCTAAAAGAAAATATATGAACACGAGCAACTTTGGGTAATCCCCCCCCCCCCTCCCCGGGAAACTGCCCATTTTATTACATGATGTCACGTCACTGCGAGAAAGTTTATTTGTTCACCAAACGCACGATGACCTGAAGTTTCAAAAAACCGTGGCGAATGATTTTGGAACTCTTTTCTACCATATTTCTTTTCACCCTTTTTTCAAGTCACAAAAGAACAAATGATCTGCGTATAAATACTGCAGAGAAAGCGGTACGAAAAGGAAAGCAGGATAAAATATCGGTCCTACTACGTGCTTTAATTTGTTTTTCAAGTTGATGAGACGCTTCGTATATCATATATGTAAAGCCAATGCACTGACCATCTCTCTCCATATCCTTTTCTATCTTTTGCTTTGTTTCACCAGAAAGGGAAACACCTTCAGAGTTCACAGTAAAAGATATACATATCGAGCTCTTCTTTAATTCTTATCTCTCTGGGGAAAATTCTACGAAGAGCTAACACTTACCCCTAGACCCCGTTCAGCATCAAAATCTGGAATTAATGATCACTTAGAGCACATATATAATGATACGTTCATGATGAGAGCCTTACATTATAGTGTTTTGGAGCGAGAAAATATATATAAGACTGATTGAAACTGAAGGATTTGGGTTGAAGAAAGTGAAAAGAGAAGGGTGAAAGGAATAGTGTGGGTGAGAGGTACGTATATGTTATGGCACTTCAATCGTTTCATGCTTTTACAGGCACCAGAAGGGAGAGAGCTCTTGTACGTTCCTACAGATACCAAACCAGGCTTTGATGAAACCCTCATCAGCTTTTCCACCAACTTCCATAGCAACTCAAAGAATGAACGCCGCTCCCACTAGTATAAAATTCATACATATGTACACCAATATGAAAAATAATATAAATGTTGCACCATCCTATTTTTATAGCGGCGATTGAAAATATAGGATGACTGGCAGCTGAGAAAATATACGAAAACATTATATCTTCTGTTTGAACTCAAATTTTAATGGAAGATAATTAAATGTTGTCATTAGACTAGACTTTAGTTAGGGAATGAAATAATGTGTTCCCAGTTTATAAATATTAAAAATTTGAGCCTCTTGGTGCTAGCTATGTGAATAACGTAACGTCTAAGATTCAAAATCTTATCTTGATATAAGTTAGAAAGTGATACAAACAATTTTCTAAAATATTTCATACAAATATTTAATGTTAGATGCTCGATCTAGCAGTTATTTTGCATGTTCCATTGCACAAATATCAACATCACTAAATTGTGATTTTCCTGACTTGTACGTATAATTAGGTGTCAAAGCAAACAAATGCGTGTGTGTGTGTGTGTGTGTGGAGCTGAATTTATTAATAAGGAAAAGAATTAGCCAGGAAATCCGACAAGCACAATCGGAAGATATCATTAAATCTTTCTTCTGTTATAAGCCTCTCTATGTATATGGCAACCTAAACATGTCCTTCTGTGTATTCAGCCTTCCTTTGTTATCTTCAAGGGCCAACACTAAAAGAGAAACCTTCTTTTTTCTGTTAAAGGGGACATATCACCCATCCTGTGCAGACAAACACAGACCCCCTCCTATATATCTATCTAGGACTGCAAATAACATATGCGCGCCTGATGATTAGCAAATTGTTACCATGTTGCAGCCCTTTTACATTTCTTTAATAGAAGTAAAAGAGAAGATTTAATTAATTGCATCCTTTTCGGAACCCTCCAAACTACTTTGAGACTCAGGGTGTTATCCCAACTGATGAAAGAAGTCACCGTTACGTTACATATATAGATGGATAGGACTGCATGCGATCTTGTCTGTGTCTCTAATGTCTTATAACCGTGCTCCTGGCTCTAAGCCTTGGGGAGTCCAGCATTGTGCCCTCATTGCTCCCCACCTACCTACACACCCATTCCATTTTCTAAATTCTACAGTAAAGTGAATAATGATCTGCAACTTCCCAAAATTGGTAGGGAGAATATATTCCTGCATAAAGCATGTGTGAGCAAAAAGATGAGTCCATGCATATCAAATCTTGCTGGGTTATATTATATGGACCAGATGATGGAAACCTTTTGTTTTTTTAGGTAATCCTTACTCCTTTAGGGTTGGTCTTTCTGTAAAGTTGGTCTGTTCAGAAATTTTGGACTTCGCACAGACATACACAAATTAGTGTAAGATGATATGAGGGGCATGAAATAACTTTAGAAGGTGTATGTGGCGTGGATTATGGATATATGTTGAAGGCTTTTTAATGAAGTTTGAACTTTACGGGAATAAGGTGATGACTTGTTGGGAAAAGAAAGATATGAAAAAGATAGAATAAGCAATGGCTTGTTTAGAATGAGAAATGACAAGTTTGGAGGGGAAGCTTGGGAGAGTGTAACGGGAAAATGCAGACGATATGATGTAAAGATGAAGTCCAAGAAACAGAAATGCATATGAGAGAGAGAGAGAGAGAGAGATCACAGGGCCGACAACAAGGACGAAGGCAGCCGTCTACATGCTCTCTCCCCTGCGAAACCCTCTGCTCTTATGTCTCCCTCTTTTCTCTTCTTTTCTTGATCACCCCCTTCGATTCCTGTCCTCTTTTAACCCTTCACTTAATCATCATCTCTTCAATTCCAACACTTTGACTCTCCTCGATCTCTCCCTTTTGCTTCTACCTCCAATGATCAAAACACCATTCCATAATAATTTATTTACAAGGTTGCCGGAGTGTAATAAGTACATGTTTTGGCACTTAAGTGTCAAGCTGTGTTAAAACTTCCAAATTAAAAATTCTGAACAATCAATCACCGACAAGAATTTACATCATAAGAATTTTACTCTAAATGAAAAATTAAAAATTTTAAACTTCCTCATTCCCTCTCTCTCCTCTCTGTGTCTGTGCCTGTCTTGCATAAGGTGACGACTGCTACAGAGACCAACTTTATATTTCTAAGGAAAAAGGAAGCAGTAACAACAGCATGATCCCCTCACGCACATTAAGCCTTTTTTCTTTTTCGTTCAATGTTTATTTTGTTTTTGCGGGGCAACCGTATTCCCAAAGCTCGATGTGATCCTGGGCTCTATAAATAGCAGCCGGATCTCCCGGCATTGCTCACACTGCAACAACAAGAGCTTCTTTCTACTCTCACCGGCTCTCATCACAATCATCTTGCACCCTCCATTAGTTTCCTGAAACTATTTTCGGAGTAAGAATGCAGTACCAAACGGCGTCGTGGGGCGGTTATATGGCGGGAGGTGGCGTGGACCCAGTGGAGAGGATAGAGAGGATGGCGTCGGAGAGCGCGGTGGTGATATTCAGCGTAAGTACGTGCTGTATGTGCCACGCCATGAAGAGGCTGTTGTGTGGTATGGGAGTGAACCCTACGGTTCACGAGCTTGACCAGGATCCCGCCGGCAAGGACCTGGAAAGGGCGCTGGTCAGGATTCTGGGAACGCCCTCCGTCGTGCCGGTGGTATTCATCGGCGGCAAACTGGTCGGGACCATGGACAGAGTGATGGCCTCTCACATCAACGGCACCCTCGTCCCTCTCCTCAAGCAAGCCGGGGCTCTCTGGCTTTGAGTGTTCTTAAATTTCTATCTTTTATTATTATAAAAATTGTTTCTTTGTAATGGTTTGCTTGGGGCTCTCGCTTCTGTAAAGATCATCCCAAAATTGGAAATTAATATAAGAAGTAATGTTTGCTTTCTCTGCCATGTTTCATACTTCACTGGTTTTTAGTTGATGTATGGGTACGTGTATGTTGGAGAAGACAAGAAAACGAAAGACAGGGTGAGAAAGTGGGGGATAGACCAGACCAGAAACGGCGAAATATGGGGACGAAGCTGTCGCTTTCTGTGTCCCTTTTGAGAGAACGGTACAAAGTGCTCGTTATTTAACAATATTGGAACTGGAATTGCACTCTGCACATACGAAGTTACAAACTGTACCTGAAATTGCCTTGGAAGTGGATCGATTTTGGTTCAATAATGTGCTGAACAATCACTTGTGGCTTTGTGGCGGTGAACTTGATTGGTGCTTCTTAGGGCTATGCTTCAATTCGTGATAAAGATTAATAGCAATTACTGAAACTTGATTGGCATGTGACGTATTATTCTGTTCATTTTCGTCCTCGACTGCAAATACTTTCACCCGATAGTTGCCACGTGCCACGATGGTGTACATCTGCAACGTTAAACCAAAACACACTGCGCGAGCGAGAGGACTTGATATTTTGTCTATAGAGCAGTTTGTTTTTCCCTCGGATGCAATTCCTTTCTTGTAATTGCATTAAATGTTGGTATCTCTCTTAATAAATCTTGATTTGTTATACTGTGAGAAATTAATCCATTTTATTAGATCCAGATCTTTTATTATCCTTGTTTGGGCAGCTATTCTAAACATATTTGTAACCTAGACCTATTATTCAAAATATATTTTTGTTTACATGTGTGTGTGGTGTTCTTGATTTTTGAATTTTTTTTATAAGTATTGGTATTATATTATTAATAGTAATTCTATTTGAAGTACCATCAAATACTAAATATAAGTATATCTTTTTAATATTAGTTCGTTACGCTGTGAACAACTTGCTAGGCCTATCCTCATTGGTTTTTTTTTTTTGGATTATTTTCAAATTTTTTATGCCGTGTTTGGGGCATGATGAGTCTTTAAATGAGATTGGGTCAATGATTGCAGGGAACGGTCCATGGAGGGATGAGAAAGACCCTTTATTGGTTGGGAAGCAACACGCAATGGGCTATTAATGGGCTTTACCGCGCTTTCACGCTTGATTATTGTGAGCTTATTCGCTCATAAATAAATAAACTCTTTTCTACCAATAAATAGGTGGTTGAGATAGTAAGTGGTTTTATCCTGTAAAGAGAATAACACAAATTCGGCTTTTGAAGCGCACTTGTTGGAAACCTTTTACTCTTAATGCTTCTAACTCAACAAAGACTAATCTCAAGCCCAAAATAGCTTGGGAATATTAGGAGTTATACCAAAAATAAATAAATCCTTTTCTTAATGAAAAAAATCTAACCAATCATAATTTGCAGCGTTAATGGATTGATTAGAAGCAGAATGATGAATAATGGAGTGGGCGGGGAATGGAGTCGCGTATCACGCGTAATAGCCTTCTCCATTAACACCTGATCACTCGCTTAATTCAACCCTCGTCTCATCAAACACCTTGACCCATTGTCGTCGTTTTATTTGTTGTCTCTCCCCATGTCTGATCTCACACAGACTTCATATATTTTCTTATATATATTAGCACACTCATTTTTGTTCTTTTTGCCAACAAGTCCACTAACTTATAAAAGTTTCTTTTGGCACAATAAATAATAAAGTTTATTAAATGCTCAAACGTGTAATTTTTTTCTCGGTACAAAAAATGTTTAGGTGAATTGAATTCCAGGACTCATTAAAATCAAAATATATCTCCAAGTTTAAAGAGTGCTCGTAAAAATATTTACATACCATCTATCAACAAGATACTCACATTAACAACCCGATTTAGGGTGTGTTTGGATGAAACCAAACCATGGTCTGGAGAATGGCTTCTGGAGAATAGATTCTGAAAAAAATAGATTTTGGGAAGAATAGATTTTGTGAAAAAGTGATTTTGAGAAGTGTGAGTGTTTGGATAGTTGTTATTAGAAGTACTTTTTATATATACAAATTGGCATAAATTAATATGATAATTATAGAAAAAATATATTTTATGATATATTTTAATTTGAAGAAATAAAATTGTTAATAATATATTTTTTATTAACATATATTAATAATATATAAGATAATATAATTAATAAATAATTAATATGTATATATATTTATAAGATATAAGATTAAATATATTTATAAAAAATATGTTTATAAAAAAAAAAACAAGATACATATCCTATAGGCTCTTACACTCTCCCCCTTTCCTCCAAAAGTAAAAAATTTCTGCTTTTCTTAAAACCATGGTTTTGGAGTCAAAACCATGGTTTTGAACCCAAACCATGGTTTTGATTTTTTTAAGGGTGTTTGGCTAACATTTTTTTTAAACCATGGTTTGGGTCCCAAAACCATAGTTTGAGGTGCTTGCCAAACACACCCTTAAATGTACAAACTTGCCATAGTTGACCATATCATTATAGATGAGATGATCCTATAGGAGTCCTATTTCACAGGCCATGCAATTGTTTATGCCCTGTGGGGTCACGGCCTGTTTTGTTTATGTTATATATTTAGGAGCATTTCGTCTTTTAATTCTTCATTCATGGTGTGGTACGTCCTTCCTATTTTAATTACATGAACTAGCCCATAGTATAGCTCAATTACAAACCCATGATGTACTCCTTTTTGTTTTTGAATGAAGCACAAGTCTTGCTAATTTGGGTCGTTGGGTCAAGAACGTCATGAAACGTTATTAAAGTTTTTTTTTTTTGAAGCAACATATATAGATGTACATATTTTATACGGACCGTATATAAAATTACTTTAGTACATAACTTTATAACAATTCATAGTTTGATTTAGTGTGAATTTTATGTTTTTATATGGATGATTATGTACATCTGTATCATTGCGGAATCTCCCGTGAATATGCATAAAAAGAACAAAGATGGTATCTGCAAACCTACCACCGTGTGATTTTATAATAGAGAGAGAGAGAGAGAACCAAATGCGTCGGCCGTCGAGACCCCCCCACTGGAAAGCGAAAGCGGAGCGTCTCTTGGTCCAGGCTAGGCAGGGGTAAATATGATATGAAAAAAATTTAAATCAAATTCCTGGTATTAAATTCTCTAGTTATACATAGTCATCCATATTTTTTTTATTTATACTTATAATTAAATACTAATATTTTAAAAATATGATATATAATTATGTGTGATTGAAGAATTTAACACCATGGATATAAGGAAATTGATTTAAATATTGTTCATATAATATATAATAGTCAAAATTACATAAATTAAGGATCTTATTCATTCTTGAATAATTTTTTCTTAAACGGATTATTTTTAAAAACATCATTTTCAGTATTAGAAATCTAAATTATATATTATAAAAGATATAAATTAAAGAGCTAACATAAATCGGTCAAGATAATCTGAATTAAAGTACCAATATTAAAGTACCAACAGTAATGGTAGTAGTATCAATAAACTTTTACAATTAAGATATCTTAACTTGATATCAATGCATTAATGCATGTGGATACAGTTCATGATTGCTTTGGATTTATATAAATGCTAATAAATGGCATTAAATCATTAATTGATTTAATTCACAAAAACAAAAATTAATCTTCTTACAATTTTGGAGTTGGACAACCAAGGTAAGTAAGGAGATTGCCGTCTCTGACAGAATTTCCACAGGTGTGTGTGTGTCTATATATATATATATATGTATGTATATATTATAATCTGGCAATGACGACATTTATTTCAAACGGAACAAGCAAAATACAGAGGGAAAGGAAAGCGGGGAGTTGGGGTCTAGGGTTTTCTTTTCTCCTTCTGATGCCCGAAATTCTCGTCTTCTTCCAATCTTTGAGGTCTCTCTCATGACTCATAAACGCTCCTCTAATTAAAACCCCTACTGCTTATTTAAGGTATTCTCCTTTTCCCCTTTCGTTTCCCCCCTTATTTTCATGTTTTAGCGTATGGTTTGTTCAATATAGTTGGCACAGCATCAATTTCGAATGGTTTGGAACTTGGAGCTGTCCCCTCCCTTTTTAAATAAACTCATAATTATAATAAGCGAAAGTGTTATATTTCGTGAACCAGCTGTTTTGGTTGCTCAGAAAATTAAGGGCCTTGTGCTCAATTGGCTTCGGAAATGAACACTGAACTAAACTGAGCTGGGCTACTTAGTTGTCCGTCGATTGTTGGCTTCTCTATGGTTCTGATTTGAATGTAAAATTTTCTCTGTTCCTGCTTTTGCACGTTGGTATTGACTTGTCTTGTTTGAAATGATTGCAGCTCTGTACAGATTGTTGTGGCAAATTGAAAGCTGGGATTCTTGGTGGAACTTTTGTGGCATCTTATTGTTCAGGAATTGAATCGGTGGAAGATTTCAGATGCCGGAGGAAGACCTAGTGGAGCTGAAGTTCCGTCTCTATGATGGATCGGATATCGGGCCCTTCCGCTATTCGCCGGCATCAACTGTAGCCATGCTCAAGGAGAGAATTGTTGCAGAATGGCCAAAAGGTCAGGAGCTCGGCATTTTTTTCATTTCTATTTTATTTCTTCACCCCCCCGGGGGCGGGAGGGAAAAAGCACTGTAGTTTTGACTCCGAATTTTATCTACGGTGGTCCTTAATGATAGCTTTGCCATGCTGGCTGAGGCAAAGAACTTCGTTCTGTGGCTTGGATGAATTGTGGTCCAACTGTTTGAAGATTTTATCCCGAGGTTCTGTCGTATTTATATATCGACACTACTTTCTGATGTTCCATCCTTTTCTTGACATTCTTTGCGATCAATATGCACGGAATTAATTTTGAAAACCTCTTGGTAGCAGCTATATTCTGCCAGTTGATTGAATCCAATTCAAGGAACCCATGTATTCTGTATTTGAAAATCGGAAACTGGGTGGACTAATACACTGACACGCACATTTTACAGCTCTCTGTGTATGATGAAATAAAGCAGGTCACAGCACGTCGGCATTAGACATTATATTTGCAAATTTTGAATACTAATTAAATTCTAACTGTTCCAAATAAGTTCTTAAGCTCCTTGTTTGCAACCCCCCCCCCCCCAATTTGTCATTTTTTGTTCCACCATTAATATCTGTTATTGATGTCAAATGCCTCTACGGGAGTTTCTTCACAAACCTCATTTTAATAGTTTTTCATACACTTCATCAGTCAAAACGGACACGTCAACTTGTGGGAATCAGATAAGCAAAATTGTTTGCTGATACTGAAAATGCTACATAATCGTACCTCTGAAGTTGGATGTCCAGATACCAAGTTGTCTTCTGGAATTATTTCAGTGGACGAGGGCAGGGAATGGAGTTTTAGTTCTAACCAGCTGCGTATGAAGCCATAGCTATATAAGATGCATAGACTACCTTATTAGATTCTGTTCTTGTCTCTGTCCTTTTCACCATTGCCCTTACCATGACCAGCTTTTAGAAGCTCGTTCTGTTACCAAGGTCTCTTCACATAGCTTGTGTATGTCTCTTACTTCTTGAAGATGCTGCCATTACATTCCTAATTTTCATATCTGTAGTAAATGGACTTGATATAATCATATGTGTCTTAATTTTCTTTCAAATGCATCATTTGATATTGACAGAGAAGAATATAGTGCTGATAGATTCCTGATGCCCCAACCAATATTTGTTTCATCAACAAGTTCAAGCAGCTGCCTGTTGCCTAGGCTATTCTGAAATAGGGAAGAAGGGTGAATTTGCCCTGTTAAACTTTCTCCATGCAAAATTTGAAATTAGAAACTCCACCTTGCTCTGAGAATTCCAAAATAAAGACATTCTGGACTCTTGAAAGATTCTAATGCAGCGCCCAATTGAGTGTCTAATTTGAAAGTACTATTCTTGTGGTCCCATTCATTCTTATTTAATCCTAGAAGGCCAATGTTCAAAATACGTACAAGATCAACATGCATATGTGGATAAATGCAACAATGGTGACATGGGAATTCAGACATGTTCATCTCTTGATAATAAGAGAAGACAGAGTATTTGCCTGGAGAGTTAGAATTAGCTTCCAATCATCTATCGTTCAGTCCATACACATTAACAATAATGATTAAGACTCTTCAACCCTCCCCCCCCCCCCCCCGGCGGGGGGGAGAATAAACAAGATATGTTTTCTCGTTCAGCTTGGTCAATCCCAGATGTTGCGGAGAACTGGCCACTCTATCTTCCCTCCCCTCTCAGTTCTCTACTTCCCATAAAGCACAGTAGGCATTGGGAAGACAAAGACAAGTAGAATTATTGGGCTTAATGGAATCTGCATGTGAGGTTCTTCCATGGGGTGAGATCTTATGTATTCACTTCTTGTTTATGAACAGATTTATGGATGGGAGGGACCACTGCTTTGGGTGGACTGATGTTCTTTGAATTGGGCATGACATCTATGATAATCATATGGATGTGTTTTTTCTTTTTGGTCATTACTTTTATATAATTGATTTTTCTTTATAGATCGAGAAGGCGATAACCAGTTATGAGCTGTCTCCTACTGACAATAGCCTATATATTGTCAACTTCCAGATAGGCAATCTTAGATTTCTGATGTGAATTGTTGTTGCATCAGATGAAATTGGCTGGTGCTTTTGCTGTGACTGGATTTTTGAAAGTTTCTTTTGGGATAATTACATTGGCTGTAACTCCAAATTCTGGTATCGTTATATTTTCTGGTTTCGTTATATTTGCAGTCAGATTGTTTTGACGCTTGGAAGTGTCCTTGAACTGGGCAAATATTTTACTTCTCTCTGCACGAGTGCATGCATGCAACACACAGAATCACACACGGATGTGAGATTCATTTATTAGAAGCATGAATTAATTATTGTCCTTTTACAGTATGACTTTGGATCATCCTATTTAAATTTTGAAAGTTCTTTAAAACACAATGCTCCTTCTAAGTGTTGCTTTGCCGACAAGGAAATCCTATCTTTATTAATTCAGCTTCTTTATCCTTAATGTTTAACGCATGTAAATGTCCGCCACTTTATGGTAATTGCGCAGCTGGACTGTCATTCTTGCATTGATTGATGATCTGATATGGTATTTATATTATTCTTGATATGACACAGTTCCCTTCTAGAGATTGTGCTTATGGTGATTATGCACTTTTAAATTCCTTTTTTGTTTGTCTTGCCATCTCTGAAGTCGTTTCTACCATCCTGTCCACAGATAAGAAAATTGTGCCAAAGGCAGCAAATGACGTAAAATTGATAAATGCTGGGAAAATTTTGGAAAACAACAAAACAGTTGGCCAATGTAAAGTTCCTTTCGGTGATCTACCCAGAGGAGTTATCACCATGCATGTTGTGGTCCAGCCATCTCTGGCAAAAGCAAAAACAGGTAAACTTATGTAATTTGTGTATATATGTTCTAGTAGTTATATTGGTTGACAAGTTTATTTCAGTAATCAATGCATCTATGCTTGTTTTATATAGCTTAGCTGTTAGCATATGCCAAGGAGAGCAGATACATAAGCTTATGAGTAAATGACCGCCCTATAAATGATGGAGTTAATGCATTTGTTAAAAGTGCAGGGAATTAAATCTCTCCAAAAATGGAGAAAAGGTAGATTATATGGTAGAATTGTAAATCACTCGATGTCTTTTGTCAAGGTGATGATCAAATGCGAACTAGAAAGATGTTGTGATCTCTGACGGGATGCCCTTTTTTTTTTTGGGTTGGTTTGGACAGAGAAAAAGGTTGATGAAGCTCCTAAAAAACCTATATGTTCATGTTCGATAATGTGATTACTGATTACTGAGAATACAATGGTCGTCCAGAGTTAATCTGCCGAGATTGCCTCAGAGTTGCGGTTGGTGGGATCTCTCAGGGGGCAAGGTCATGGAAATGCGTAGCTGGAAAGACAATAATATGTAGAATAGTCCCAACCCTCATTGTTAGATGTTCGTCGGAGGCCATTCCTGTGTAACAATGCTTGTCTGTCTTGATTTTCCTTTTGTTTTATAAAATTGGTGTTTGATGTATCTTGGAAGAGGCAATCTTATTTTTAGTTTACATAATATATGGCAGTTGCTCCCCCCTTGAGTGTGTTTAATGGTAATTTTCTTTCTAGAATGTGGGCGCAAGCTGTGGTTCTAGTGCTTTTTTTGGGATTATAATTGGACACCCCAAAAGTAGATATTCGCATTATTGGAAATTCTTCTCGCATATTGCACTCCAGCCGGAGGCATTACAATCACTCTTCACAAGAGAAAAGAGAAGGGAGGGGGACATAAAAAGTTCTAATTAAAAATTTTACTGGATAGAAAGATTTGAAATCTGAAATATATATATATAAAATATTTTGAAGTCTGAAAATGAATTCGGGGTTGTTTGGTGGATAAAATTTCCAAACGGAAATTCGAAGAAAAACTAGGGTGACTGTTACTACCTCCAGTCTTAATTATAATTAAGACCGGGTAGCAACATTTTGTACGGACATCGATTCGTTCTCTACATTTAACCGTCATTGGCGGAGGGTTTGCCATTGGTTCGGTTAAAGTCTCCGCGTTTTGACCTAGCTTGGGAATGAGCCCACCTGGTGCAACACGGTATTCGTTCTTCGCACATGAATGACGTATTTTAATTTGGTTCATCTCATTGATTGAATTAAGTTCGAACATAGCTTTAGGCTACTTTACGTCAGCAGGTCAAGTTTAAGAATTTGAAGATTGAGTTGCCCAATTCACCATTGGCTTAATGATTTTTACAAAAATATTTTATATGAAAATTTTTTTATTCCATCACTTGATCTAAACATTAACGTACGATAAAGATCTTAAATTTAATAAATTGTTCATATTAAAAAGTTCAATTTTAGAAGGTTAACACAATAATTAGGGTTTATTTAGCACATAGAATACAATGGGGAAAAAAATTAGCTGTCGCGGATGAATTAGATTTTTTTTAAAAATATTGTTAAGTGAAGTTTTGCTAAAAAAAATTGTCACGTGAAAAAAATTATGCTAGGAGACGGAGAGTCATTTCAAATTAAAGTCTCACAGTGTTAAAATTTTATTTTATAGTAAGATTTCAGATAAATGCATTAAATAAGTCAAAAAGAAAAATTAGAAAAAAGTCTCTCGCTAGAAATTTTATTGGTGTAAAGGATCTAATAGTTTTATACATCCAATGTGATTCTGAAAATTTTATACACATTGAGCATCAATACTTTGATTTAATTTATTCTCACCAATAAGATTTTAACAGAGTTTGTTTTTCAATTTTCCAAAAACAATTGAACAATAAATACAAAAAAAAAAAAGCAATGAAACCCGTCCATATAGAAGCCTAACTTATGTTTGTTCTCTCTTACTTTTTTTCTTCTTTTTTTTTTTAACGAACGAAACATGTCCGTGCTAATTAATAAAATCACTTCCCTCAACAGAATATCAAAGGTTACGCCGTTGGCTTGAGTTTATCATCAAACCATATAATAAATATATCATATGTAAACAAGATTTGAAACATCAAGTTAAACAAAAAAATATTAAGACGTGCTTGGATTGAATTTTACAAAAATAAATATTAAGTAAAATGGATTTTCATCAAAATCATGGTTATGACCCAATAATCAATTTTAAGTTGCGAGGGTGTTTGGATGGATATACTAAAACCTTAATATTAACGAAGAATTTAACAAAAAGAAGTTTAAAATTATTAAATTTCAAATAATTTTTTTAATAAAAATATGTTATTATTTACTAGTATATTATTATTAAAATCTAAAGTATGTTACAAAATTTGATTTGAGATTTAATAATTTTAAATTTTTTTGTGAGGTTATCTCTAATTTTAAACCAATAATTGATTCTTAACGAGTTTCCAATTAAAATTAATTATGAGACCATCAATTATATTTCTTATAAGCAGCATTTGGCTTAGAAATAAATTTGATTTTGGATTCAATTAATTTTGACATACATAAAAAGATTTGGTTGTTTTTTTTTTATAACAATTATTTTTATTTTATAATTGACTGAGGCATATGTTTGTGTAAACACACAAACACCCCAGCTTCTACTAAATTGAACTTAAAACTTCGTCTAAGCTAGTGTGTTAAGTGGCGAGGCATCATTACTAGAACAACTGGTTGTTAATAGCAAATATGATACTGCGCATCTATAAATATGATACTATGTATCTATAAATGTCTATTTGACTTTTATTTTACTCATAAATATAAGGCTTCAATTTACTTTATTTCTCATATTTACTTATATTTTTTTTCCAGAATAATCCTTGTAGTAATAATAATTTTAGCTAATACACTTGATTAATAAAGATATTTTTAAAAAAATATTTATTTATTACAAATAACTAATGTAACTAATTTTTTTAATCTACTTAAATTAGTCAACTAACTCTTATATTAAAGACAAGGATAATATATAAATCTCTCAATATATAATACGTACAGTGCCCGTAAAAATTCGACACAAAAAGAGGTTGATATACATTATGTGAATCTATATATATTGCCTTCAGTCTTTAATATAAAGGCTTATTTAAATTTTATATTGATCCTAAGTATAAGATCTTATTCTATTTTCCTCTCATTATATTTATATTTTTTTCCCTAAAAGAGTTTCTGTAATAATGATAGTTCTAGCTAGTACATTTGATTGGTAAAAATATTTTAGGAAAGATAACACATATTTATTATAAATAGTTAACTTAACTAATTTTTTTAATTTACTCAAATCAGTCAATTGATTCTTATATTAAAGACTTGATGTAGTATTTATTCATTTATTTCACAAAAAAAATCTATATATAATACGTATAATGCACGCAAGAATCTGAAAAAAAAAAGGTGGAAATACATAATATAAATCTACATATATAATAGGTACAATGCACGTAAGAATTTGGGGGGAAAAAACGTGGAAATATATGATACTCTCTCTGTTCTAAATATATAGAGTTCGTAAAGGAATTATACAGAGGTAGTAAAGGAATTAATTAGTTTTTGTTCTAAATATAAATATAAGGGTATACATTTTGCTTCCTAAATTTATAGTAATTATTTTCTTAAACTCTTCCTATTATATATATATATATATTAAGGAGAATTGTTATATATATATATTATATATATATATACTCCTCCGGTCCTTAATATAAGACTCATTTAACTAATTTGATTAAATTAAGGAAGTTAGGTAAGTTAGTTAATTATAGGAAAAGTGCCACATTTTTCCTAAAACACCATAATCATCTTTCTTAATACCCCTTCTTCCTCTTCTACTTGATTATGGTTGAGGAAGTATCCATAAGGGTATTTTAAAGAAAATTGATAAATATGAGAAATGGGTCTTATATTTAGGACCAAAACCAACATAAGAATTGGGTCCTATATTAAGGACCGGAAGAGTATATATATTACGGAGAATTGCATCAAGGGACAGTTGCCTACACCGCTAGCTTTTCCCCACAATAATCTGCCCCATCCCAAGCCATAGCCTTTTATGTCGATTAATTAGTAATGTCAGGGTAATTTTTTGGAAAAATTATAATGAAGTCTCAAGAAAAAAAATAATATTACAAAACAAATCCTAATGGGTGTTATTGCCTACCGTGAAACTTGTTATTATAAACTGCTTAGGTTGTTAGGTTGTTATTGAGATCTATTAGTAATTATTTTCTTTTTGTAGAATTTCATTGTAATTCTCCCTAATTTTTTCATCTACAAAGTTCTAAGCTTGTAGCCCAACTTCATTGACTTGAGAAACGCATTAGTAGTTTGGGATCATATATGGGATGAAAGCTAAGATCTATACTTGATTGTGAATTGCTACTACGATTAAAATAAAAGTTAGAAAATTGATGGAGGTCATTCGCAGTTGTCTCCTTCTCCAAGCTGTTAAGACCAAAAATGGCTGCTCCACTCATATGCAGAAGTTGACAAGCCAAAATTTTCTTCTGTTGGTTTGAACAGAGAAAAGGCTGAGGTAGAGGAGGCTCCTAAAAAACCCATATGTTCATGTCCGATAACTTGATTACTGACTACTAAGAATACATGGTCGTCCCGAGTTATTCTGCTGAGATTGCCTCAGGGTTGCAATTGCTGGGATCTCTCAGGTGGCGAGGTCATGAAAATGCGTAGATGGAAAGACAATAATATATAGGATAGATAGAATTATACAATACTTAAGATTTATCGTGCTGAATCTATTTATAAGTCACTTCTAATATGTTTCACACAGATTAAAAAAAAAACCTTAGATTTTATTAAATCTTATTTAAAATTTAATAACTTTTCAATTTTATTCCTATCTAATATACCTCATGTAAATAAAGTAAACACAATAATAAATAAAAAGTAAAATCATATATTCATATAGAAAGTTCTTCTCAATGCCTTATAAATTAAACCAAATTTTTTTTCTCTCTACCTTATAAATAAGACTAGAGTAGTATTTAGTAGGTAGATGGAATACATCGGGAAAAAAATAAAGGAAAATTTTGTTTAAGGACTGCAGTACATAATTAATTTCAAAGAGTCTCAAAAATTTCTGAAATTTCATTGCAGGACCAAGGAGACAAACTGATATTAATTTCACAAAGAAAATGACACTATTACCCCTCATGTGAACAAGTGTGGGAGAATCTATTTGCAAGTGAGACTAGACAATTTGCAACATATACATATATATATTTATAACTGAAATTAGTCTATTTACATGTCACCTCTTTCACCTAAAGAAGATGTTCGTGAGTAAATAAGTGTGGGAAAACCCATTTATAAGTGGGACCAGACAATTTGCAACACATATACATTTATTTACAATTGGAATTAATCCGTTTACATGTCACCTCTTTTACCTAAAGAAGGTGTCAATGAGTGAACAAGTGTGAGAGAGCCTATTTACAAATAGGACTAGTCAATTTGTGATATACATACCTTTATTTACAACTAAAATTAGTCAATTTACATGTCATCCTACAATAAGTATTGTAAAGGGCAATAATGTTATTTTTTTGGTGAAATTAATATCAGTTTGCCTCCTTCAAAAAGTTTTGGGGCTCTTTGAAATT